TTTTTTTTTTTTTTTTCTTTTTTTCCTCTGCTTGCACTCCTGTTCCTTCTCCCATAAGAGCACCAGCTCTGTATGGTCACCTTGTAACCCAGCAGGGTGAAGAGATACGGGGCTGGCTATAAACCTAGATATAACCCTCTCCAGCCCCCAGAAGTATTCTCAAGCACCCCCCACCCTGGTGGGCACAGCCAGAAGCTGGCAAAAGGAGTTAACCTGCCCGTGCCCACCGTGGGGAAAGAGCCAGTACCTCGCTGCACCTTGCACCTTGTTAAACTGCTGCTGGGTGAGGAGGCTTTGGCACCCAGAGCCTGCGGAGACAAGCTGGCTCGCTCTTCTGGCCTCCCTCTCCAAAGGACGATGTGTAAAGCTCGCTGGCAGTCTTGCTGCACTGCAGCTCCAGTCAAGTTACAGGCTATCTTTTTTTTTTTTTTCCCCCCCTTGTTGTCTGCACAACCCAGGAAATATGCAGCTCTAATTAGGAAAGCTTTAACTTCTCATTTTCTCTAACGCAACCTCAAGTTCCAGACTAGTTACGTGCACAAGCCAAATACCATGTTCCGGGTACCATCCTCCACACCTCATTTGCTTCAACCAGCTAAGCACAGGGCAGGGACAATAAAATTGACAAGAAACTTTTCTATGCTGTCATATTTTACGTTACCTGCTGTCTTCTCTCAGGAAGGCAGAAAAATTGTATTCCAGAATATCACCCTAAGTAAAAGGTCGCGTCTACACCGCCAAGGGACCAGAGAAAACCATAAGCTCAGTCAATTAACATCTGCAGATCCTGGCTGAGATACAGCCAAGCCACTTTCAGACTGACACCACTATGGATGCCCATCACCTACCCCGTAGTGTCCTCTACAGGAGAGACAACCCATTATAGACATATGGGAAACAGCTGCATGAGCAAGTTTCCCTGAAATAATGCAACGTATGGGTTTAAGCTACATCAACGATGCGACACTGCTGGCTGCTGACCTGCTGGAGGTGCACAGCAAGCCACCCACCAAGAGAAGTAAATTCATATCAGATAAGAAGAAGAGCTGAGTTACCGCTGCCCGAGCTACACACATGCAGTCAGACTGTCAACTGCTCCCCTTTGCTGACACAGAAGAAACTGCCCAGCAAAGACACATAACTACACCTGGGCACAGCAGACTGGCATCTGCTGAGGAATGAAGCATTCAACTTCCTGCAGCCTGCTCCCAACAGCTGCATTAAATCACATTGTGACATTTTTGTCAAACAAGCAACGTAAAATACAAATACACACCCTGTCCTTAAGTACAACACTTAAAATGAAAACTAAAAAGGAAGCAGAAACATACACAAAAATACACAGGAGGTGTTAAATGTTGCAGTAAATATTATAGCTTTTAGGCAGACCTTACATTTGTCCTTTTATAAACCTCTAACCACACAGAGCTTCTGGTCACACCTTCTAAATTTCAATGAGCGTTCAGTCAGACACAATTTACTACCACAAGCAGCTCACATTAGTGTGACAAATACTATTGCATCAGTGAGGCAGCACTACGAGCTATGCTGACGGAGTCGTAGTGTTTGAAGGACTGGATCTTTACTGCACACAGTAGTAACTGCATTTTTAAAGACACATGAATTAACGCGCGGCTCCCCTTATAATGACTGTTATCACTGAAACGCCTATAACACCACACAAAAGACTTATTTGTGGCTTTCAGTAAGCAAAGAAAAAACATGGTACTCACTGAAGCCTTGCTATCTACAGCACCAGGCATCGGAGGCAGTCACTCGCTGCACCCCACCAACCCCTTCTCTGTGATTCCGCTGTATCAGAACGACCATCTGAGTTTGGGCTCCTTTCCTACAGATCTGATGTCGCGCACGTTTGCTGTGTCAGGAGTCTGGCACATGATCTCTCTCTCTCTCTCTCTCGTGCTGAAAAACACAATTTAGCCTTTCTGAATCAGGATCAAGGAAAAGAAACCTAACCAAGTGCTGCTGTCCACGCGGCATCCCTCACCGGCACGCTGGCATCAGAGACCAGATTGCTGCCTCCTCCCCCGTGCCTGCGTTTTTGTGAAAATTGTTTTCTAACGAGCCGTCGCGAGTGCTCATTCCTTCTTAAAATTTCAGGAACCCTCCAGTAATACTCAGAAGCTGCTGTTCAACATCAATCTGGATTGCTTCCTATTAACATACAACTCACCATCCATTTCCACCAAACCCACCACAGCACAGCGCCGTGGTTTCCACACCGATTACTCCCGATGCTGAAGTCACAGCTGCAGCCAAGCGACGGGGGACCACGGGCCACCCTTGAAGCCAGAGGGTCTGCTCCACCGTGTCCAGCTGCTCACTGCTGACAGGCACGTTCCACCACTGCAAGGCATCAGCGGATTGCAGGACTCCCGCTTCACCACTGCCATCCAGTAGGAGACCACAGGGACCCCCAATTCACCACTGCGATCCAACCAGGAGACCACAGGACCCCCGCTTCACCACTGTGATCCAAGCAGAAGACCACAGGGACCCCCACTTCACCACTGCCATCCAGCAGGAGACCACAGGACCCCCCGCTTCACTACCGTGATCCAGCAGGAGACTACAGGATCTCCACTTCACCACTGTGATCCAGTAGACCACAGGACCCCCGCTTCACCACTGCCATCCAAGCAGGAGAAAACAGGACCACTGCTTCACCACTGTGATCCAAGCAGGAGACCACAGGACCCCCACTTCACCACTGCCATCCAGCAGGAGACCACACGACCTCTTCACCACTGCCATCCAGCAGGAGACCACACGACCTCTTCACCACTGCCATCCAGCAGGAGACCACACGACCTCTTCACCACTGCCATCCAGCAGGAGACCACACGACCTCTTCACCACTGCCATCCAGCAGGAGACCACACGACCTCTTCACCACTGCCATCCAGCAGGAGACCACACGACCTCTTCACCACTGCCATCCAGCAGGAGACCACACGACCTCTTCACCACTGCCATCCAGCAGGAGACCACACGACCTCTTCACCACTGCCATCCAGCAGGAGACCACAGGGACCGCCGCTCCACCACTGCCATCCAGCAGGAGACCACAGGGACCGCCGCTCCACCACTGCCATCCAGCAGGAGACCACAGGGACCGCCGCTCCACCACTGCCATCCAGCAGGAGACCACAGGACCCCAACGACATCGCTGGAGGCTCCGCGTTTAAATTTCCTGCCGCGGGGTCTCTCCTCACGGCCCCCGGCGCAGTCCCACATCCCGGTGCTCAGCCCCGTATTATTCAACACGCTCGGCCTCGCGGTATTTAAAGCCCAGGGCTGGGAGGCGGCGGATGGGGACGGGGGGGGCGAGCGGGACCCCCCCATTCCCCTCTGCCGACCGCAAAGACTCCAGGAGACGCCGCTGCGGGAGGCGCCCCGCACACCGGGTGAGGGGGGAACCCGGCGGAGGGCAGCGGGGCCCCGAGAGGCCCTCGGCCGGCCGCGCCGCAACCGCAAAGGGGCTACTGAGGCGGGGGGGGGCGCTTGGTGTCGCCTCAGCTCCGGCGGCGGGATGGCGGCTCCCGCTCTCCCGCCGCCACCGCACACCTTTGCCCTCACAGGCCCGGACGG